CTTGGAGTCTGGTTCCACGCTTGGTTGAGCATTGTTGGTTGCGATAACGCTTGACCCACAATGTAATGTCATGTATTCAATGTATTCACTTATTGTGTTTGCTTTGCACCTCTATCAGGGCGCTTGCCTCCTCCTCCGCTGCCATTGCACAAACATTCCTCCCCAAGCGCAAGTTGTTGGCAAGTTGTCAGTCAGCGCCAATCTTGCAAAGCATGCAGCAAATATCAGCAAATCTTATCCACAACTGAAGCATTTGCTATGAAAATACATGAAAAAACTACCAAAGTGTGGCTTCCACCTAATGCAAACAACCCACCCACCAACCTACCTAAATAGTCCACTGATTGGCCAAACTCACCTGGCCCAGCCAGCCTAACCCAACGTAACCCTTTCAGATTGTCTTCAGATCCATCTCCATGTCTGGAGCCACGCTACTGGAGCCCGGCCGCGCCATAAGCTCTGAATCGTAGATCGGCCGATCGGCCGAGGCGTCTTTTCTCGGTAGAAGATGTGGGGTGCCTTTTGAACATGTCGAACATGTCAGGTGCTGATGGAAGAATTTCGACAACATTCTGCTCCAGGTGGTGCGTCATTCTGGATGTAATTGGAGGATTTGTTGGGCTGTCGATGAGGTGACTTGGTCTAGCTGGCCAATTGTGACCCTTTTGCCAATGAGATATACCCTACAGTTGAATCTTCTTGGTGAAAGCTCGCTCCAGGGCCCGTGTCTGTTCTGGTTCCGCTGGCTTTTGGGCACTTCAACGACCGGATCCGCTTGAGAACGGTTCGGCGGTCGACCTGTCGTCCAACGGTTCTGCAGTCAAACCGTGACAGCATGTGACAGCTGTAGGAGCGGATTGGTGGATGCCTCGTCAATGGAGCAAAAACCCAGGGGTCCCAAATGTGTGAACATGTGAGAAACCCGTAGGTCCATCGCAGTCCGTTCCAAATGCTTCTTGCCTCATCCTGGCTCCTTGCCTCATCTATCTACTCCAGGAATCTTCAGTGATCTTTGCTTTTCAGCTTGGAAATGGCCACGCAAATCGGTGGTTCACGGCCTTTCGATGTTCTACTTCCAAAATGACTGATATCACTCCGACTCTCCCAGCAGTCCCAAGTCGGGATCCAAGAACGAACGGAAGGGAAGGGAAGAAGTCGGGGTGCCCAGAGCATCACAGATCACATCCACATCCACATCCACCAGAGAATTCGGGGTCTAAAAACCATTCAACTCCATGAAACACCTGGCCCCTTCTGGGTTCCAGTCGTACCTCCTCAGGTTTGATATGATTGGACTCAACCCCACCCGGCCCCGCAGTCCCAAACCTCGGAAGGTACTTGGAGCCTTAGGGTGGAGATGATGTTTCAACTTCCGTAGGGTTTTTGCACGTTCTCAGCGCATCGAATCAGCCTCTGGAGGCCTCCAGAGGCTCCCAGCCAGGTTGCTTCCGGGCGTTTCTTCCAGCCACGAAAAGGGACGACAGAACAAAGGAACCGGGTTTAATTGGTGTTGTTCATTGTTTTCTGTTTTAGATGTTCATTCATGTCTTTTCTTTGTCTCTTCTTCTTTATTCAATATCTCGTTGTGTCGTTGCTTTCCCCCGGGTGATTTTCCTCCTCTCCTGATCCCTTCGGCACCCGCCTGAGCCTCCGCCTCGGCCACGGGCGCCGTCGCTTGCACCTCCACCTCCGCCGCGCGAGCTCGAGGCCATGCCCAGGCGGCGAACTCCGCGAACTCCACGCGCAAGCGGGAAGGAACGAAAGAACAGAAGAACGGAAAGAAAAAGAATGAAAAAGAAAGAGCCAATGGAAGAAAAATGAAAAGAAAACTAAGTACTACAAACTTGCAGGTCTAAGTGACTCTTGAACTTAAAAATTGCAGTTTGTTGGATGTTGCTGGCTACCAAAGAAAAACCATTGGACAAAAATGGATGAAAAGAAAGAAAGGTCAACGGTCTCTTTCGACGTTCACCACGCGCAACTCTGAGCTTCGGAGTGACGCATCCTCTGCCCGGAACTCGCAAGTGACGGCCCAGCGTGAAGGTACGGTGATCCGATCGGAATTTCCAGAGAAACAGACCCCCTTCAAGCTTCACACACTCAAGCATATGTCAACCATCTCCATACACTCAATGTCAACCATCTCAGACTTCACTTCCCAAAACACCTGGCTCGCTTCTCCATCTCCTCTCCCTGTCGACCGGCGCCCGGATCCACCGGTCCGGTCCTCGGTGTAGGTCGCCTCCGTCTGCGTGGACGCCTGGGGAGACGGGGACCTTCCAACAGGTGGTTTTGGGACACCTCCTACACCTCTAAGAGGCTATTTACACCCTGGGAGTCAAAGACTATAAAAAGAATGGTCTGACTAGGGGACCTGAAAGGGAACTTCCTTTACTTCAGCCAGTCAAAATATAGTCTTTGGACTTCTAGGGTACAGACACCTGTTGGAAGGTCCTGGTAGAGGATCCGCATATACCACCCTGTCGGGGTGGGGTGCCTTGTCTGGAAGCCTAGGCTGGTAGTGTGGGGTAGTTCAGCCAGGACACCCCGACAGGTCCTGGTATAGATGTTCAAGTTCGAACGTTCTTGTTCTTAGACGAAGTCAGAAGCTTTCCAACAAAAAGAAACAAAGGACGCCTCCTTGAAGTTGGTGCCACCTCCCAAATATGTACGCAGCGCGCTCTCCCGCTTGCATCTTTCGCAAGTCCAACTCCCTGGGCCTAGGCGTTTGCCCCCCAAAAAAACGATGCTGGACCTGGACGTGACACGTAAAATCCAGTCAAACAGCTGGTTCTTTGGGTGTGAACTTCACGCGAGACGTCGCGTGGCCTCAAAGGTTCGCACGCGCCGCTGGGCCGCCGCGGTCTTCGCCGACCAGGGGCCTGGACGGTCGGGGGTCGGGGTGCCCGAAGGTTCATCGGGTGGGAGGTGTCGCAGCGATGTCTTAGGTGGCTGATTCCCCCAGATCGAGATGAGGGGAAGGGGAAGTCAAATCACACATCTGATTTAGCAACTGCTCCAAAAATACAAGACGATATATCCATCGACTGGAGCTTTGGGAAGACAACAAAAATATCTCACATCCAAAGGAGACCCGCTTAACCACAAAAGGACGTGAAACACACCACGGGTGTTTGGCGTTGCTCTGAAGCCAGCAGCATCTGGGAACCCCTAGCGTGCCAAGTTGTTGCAGATGTACCTCGCCCATGCACGAGCCGAAGAGGAGAAAAAGGCACCCGAAGAAGTGACCCTCTTTCTGATACAGAAAAAAAGAAAGAATGGTGTACCAGGAGTTCCATGTCGGGGCCGGCGAGAATGGGATAGGGGTGCCCCTGCCCTGGATGTGCTCGAAAAACAACAGCCAACTCCATGTGACTCCCACCAGAAATTCCATGGGGTCGGCTGGATGGATTTTTCGAACCCTTTTCGAGGGCTAATGGATATGACAGGGACACCCCGACTTCCGGCACATGTTTCACTGCTGGTTGGTGCCCCAAAAAAACCCAAGGCCACACAACTCGCCCCCAGTGGCGAATGTCACTGATTGGACTTGAACGGCTTAAGGGAGCATGTCAGAGACTACTACGATCCGGAGGCAGTGGTTCTCCCCCAAGTCTTCGTTCATTCAGAGCGTCTCGGACGTAAGTTGACAAATCGATGTCCAATCACCATACCCAGCAACTTGATCAGTGAGATCCAAGACCAAAACGGAGCATCCGAACTCTGCTTTTTGGGCTTGGTGTAGTATACTGCGCTGTCGGACAAAAAAAACAAAGAAACTTCCTGGAACTTTCCACGAAAGTGGAAAAGTCACTTCGTGAATGAAAATGCATGGAAGACTACCTGGACCATCCAGCTTGGGTGCCCAATGGAAGCCTATAGGGGTAGTCCAGCCAGGACACCCAGACAGGATGGTCCTGGTAGTTTCCACCAACGGGAGCTTTTCGACTTCGTGAGGCGAAACTGCTGGGTTTCAAACCCACCGGTGACGCGCCTGTGACAAGCAAGTCCCAGGTCCGTCAGCCATTCTGCATCTGGGTCTTGGAAGTCTAACATTGGAAGAGCCATGCCACACATGAAATCGGAATTTCAGGCCCAGTTAGACTTCCAAGACCCAGACATGAAATCAGAATGGCACGTGCAACACATGTGGCCACACATGAAATCGGAATTTCAGGCATAGGAGCATCTAGGAATCGAGTGGCCACATGAGTAGCTGGAAACCCAGTCCCAATCAGAAAGAGTTCGGAACGAGTTCCCTGTCGTCCCAGCCATTTCCTTTGTAAAGGATCCCAAGCAAACCATACTGGAACAACCATGTGTTTCTATATGCCTAGCAGTTCCATACTGGGTGCCGAATGGAGGCCTGTAAGTAGCGTAGTCTATTGGACATCCATTGGATGGTCCTGGTGTGTTTCTGGTTGTTTTGGTTCTCAGGTAGTTCCAGTGATTTCCTCACCGCCCGAAGAATCTACCGCCGGCTCATCTCCATCCGAGCGATCCCCAAAATGAAGCTGTCTCGCATCCAGGGGGAGCCTCATGTCAACATGAATCTTCATGTAACGGACGAGCGGATCCATCTGGATGGGATTGGTCCGCTTGGATTCCAATCCGGGCTGCTTCAGCCTGCCACCTTGCAAGGGGGTTGGGAAGGTCAGGTACGCTGCCACCCCTTACTATATATGGAATCATCTCGCAGCCTGGGCCAATCCCTGGACCTTCACATGCCACACCACCGGACCGCTCCAGAACACCAAGCGGACCGAAACGGCCACCCGGGGGCACTCGGGGACCGCCACGGGCTTTTGGCACTTGTGGCAGCAGCCCAGCTCCTCCGAATCGACTCCGTCGACCGAGGCTCGCGTCGCGATCTACCAAGGACGACCCTGGAAGGAGCCGAGAAAGGAACCACCGAGGTATTATGGGAAACTCCCATGTGTGGGGTCTCCAATCGTTTCAAAAAATTGTTTTTCCTTCAAAAGAAGTCCAATGAAAACCGCCTTCCAGTGGTCTTCCACCTGCATCACCTCTCGAACCACTTCGCAAGTCTCCTTTTTCCTGGCTCTCTTCCTCTCGGACCCAGGATGCCACTTTGGGCACCGGCAGGCCTGAAACCCTCCCGTCGCGGTGATGTCTGTCCGGTCACCGCCTCCTGCCGGGTGGACCGAGCGAGTCCGCAGCGAACGCGGATCAAAGCGTGGCCCCCTTTGACTCGACACCGAGCGCTTCCTGGACCTGGGTGTCCAGTCTGGTGACCTTTTTCAGCAGTGTGGGGTTGTCCATTGGTAACCCCGAGCGGAAGCAGCTGGCATGCTAAAAAATAATGGAAAATCCTGAGTGGATGATGCTTCAATTTGGCAGGCCATCTCCTAAATAAGGTGTCCTGGCTGGAGATCCCGGGTAGTAGTCCAGCCAGGACACCCAAACAGGATGGTCTCTGTAACGACGTCTTCCTTCGTTGTTGTGCACCGCTTACCAACGTTTTTACAATATGCTTTTATGTTCACAGGCAAGAGTTGGGCAAGGGAGAATGATTGCAAAGCAGTTATGAGTTATGAGGTGAACTAGGTCATATTCTTTTTTTACTATATACCTGTACGACCTGTAGCTGTTCATCCCTCAAACAGTTCCTGCTGCACTCCTGACAACCAAAAGCCTCGTGTCCAGAGAACCCAACCGGATTCTCCGTCCCCACCCGCTCCGTCCCCCGCGAAAGCTTACCGTCACGTCCTTCATGGTCCTTCATCTGGGCGTGAAGCCACGCGGATCTGGCGACAGAAGGGCTCTAAACCAACTCAAGACGTGACTCGATCGGCTCAAGTCCCAAATTGTCATGCATACCCATTTGACCTCTGCTTTAATCCAGGAAGAACCTGTTTTGGGTGGTTGATGACCCAAAATAGAGGTCACTATAATATCAGAATATTGATGAATATTGATTCAAAAAGCTACAACCCCCCGGTAACCACCCCTACAGTATTTGGATTGTTACATGCACGGGGAAGGTGTTGTATAATACGTACAATAGAAGTCCACAGACTATACTTTTCCATAGTGAAGTAAAGGACCGTCCATTTCAGGCACCCTAAAGACAATTCTTTTTGTAGTCTTTGACTCCCAGGGTGTATATGATTGATCAAGATTCTGCATTAAAGCTTTTGCCAAACCATGGGGCTGTATATGCATTCTCGCCATTCTTCCTATCACCCGACGCCCAACTTGTTTGGACTGGGCCTCGCAAGGCCTTGCGTCTCGATCAGGTGGCTTCGGGGCAACGGCGTCCACAACGAGATCTTATAGGCTCATTCCCCAGCTGCCACATTTGTGGGCGTGTATTTGGGTAGACGGGTCTCTTCCCCAAAACCTTCGGGTCCTTCCCGCCTGGGAGGTTTTCCGAACGCTACCCACCCATAGTCGAAGTCGGCTCGGGGGGGGTTGGAATCCCCAAACGCCTCGCTTTCACCGTCGACCGACTGTCCTTGTCGACCATCGATGTGCGCTATCCGACCATCGGGGTCGCCCATCAGCAAGAAAAACCCATTCCACGATGATTTGTCCAGCCAGGACAACTGAGATTAAGCATGATTAAGCTATATAACCCTCATGGCTCTGTCCATGTCACCAGATTGATCTTGTGCAAGCTTCCTATCAGGCAACAGAACAGTTCTTCATCCCTGCTTATGCTTTTGACCCTATATCTTCCATCCTCAGTCCTACTTCACTTGCTTCTCTGCTTCTCTTTCAACTTCATTGACACCCCTGTTCACCAGAACAGCCACCCGCGGCGGTCCCACAGAGCGACCTGGTCCAAGAGCTCTTGCTGTCGCGCTTCCAAGCCTTCACAGCCTCGGTCCGTTCACGCCTTTGGCTTCGTGACGTCGAGCGACGAAGCGAGCGACTGGCGGGTGAGGTCCTGTTTCCCACAAGCGAACGGGGGGTGCTTGGTGCTTTGGGCCTTTTTGGGGGTCCTTCTTTTTGATTTGAGGGAGGGGGAGGGGGAGTGAGATTCACGAGATTCACAGGTTTGGTGGGGCGGGTTTGGATCCATTTTGGGGGGGATGAAAATGCTTGCCTGACTTTCCCATGCACATCGGATGTTTATCTTTGCTCATCTCACACTCTTCGATCTATGACCTTTGAACACTGTTCAGCGAAGGGAGTTGAGGCAAGTGCAAATGCTTTCTGTCGAAGTGTTCAATTCATCTTCATCCACAACCACCGAGCAAGCTCAGCCGGAAATGTTCTCTCCGCCCGACACCCAGCGACATCATCGCCACCTCATCCCTACCCACCTCACCGTTCGCCATGGCACGTTCCCGCCAGGCATCTTCCGCCAGCTGCGCCGCCGTCAGATCATCGCGCAGCACACTGGCACGTCCGGCTTCGGCTTCGGGCGAGGAGGCTTGGCTTCGGTCGACCAACATGTGAAGGACGAGGCTGACTAAGGAAGAGTGGTTTCCTAATGGCGACAAGGGGAGAAATCCAAGAAGAAGAAGAAGAAGAACCGCACTCCAGACCCAAGTGAACAAAAAAGAAGATAAAGGACGGACTGCAAGTTTCACGGGTTTCCGTGTCCGTCGTTGTCCTCCTGCGCAAGAGCTACAGCTAGAGTCTTTCCTGTTGAACTTCGCCCCATGGTCAAGCTCGCTTCACACGCAGTCTAGACGGAACATGTCTGCAGTCTGCGTCTTTCGACTTATCATAGTGAAGCAGTCTGCGGCCCACGCCTCATCTTGCTTCCCTTTTTGTTCTTGATCTCCTGCGTCGGAAAACCAAAAGCCGCTTCAGCCAATGACCCAAGCTGCCTCAAGTGGGTCGACCCACTTGAGCAACGGGTCTCCTTTCGGCCAGTCCCACACCTGTTCTCCCCAACAAAACCAAACACCACACAAACCGCTGCTGCGGATCGTCCTGCAACATCTGTTCACGTTGTCGAATCTCCTCCAAGAGCTCCTCCTGGATGAGGAGAGAATGCCCCGTCCATGAGTCAGTTGACCCAATTCGACCCAAACGAAGCGAAACCGCGTGTTTTCGGGGAAAGGGGGAGATGAGAGGTCTGATTTCGACCGACATGTGAGCCCAGCAACCACGAGGGAAGACGACCCAAAGCAGAGAGTTGGTCTGACAGTTGAGCAACGCATCATTGGCAGCTCAACTACCCTAGGGCTCCAACCACCTCCTGAGAAGATGGTTGGGGTGGGTGCCAGGGGGGGTCTAACCACCTTCTGAGGATATGGTTGGAGCCCTAGGGCTAAAGCATTCACATTCCTTCTAAACACAATTGCACCTCTGTCCAAAGCCTTCGACGGGAAACATGCAAAGACACATACCCTTTGAAACAATGTTGGTTGCACTCATGTCAGGATGTGTTCATCCCAATCCATGGAAACCCAAACGACGCTGTTTAGGAAAATAGCAAACGTCCCATGCTGCCCCGTCCAATTGGTGAGCCCAGCAATCTTTGCCCAGTAACCCCCACCCAGCACCCTCCAACACCAGATCGCCCGACCATGAAAATCGCCATTTTGATTCCACCCTCAAAGTCATGATGGAAATCCATCACCTTTCACCACGAAAATGTCCCTGGAGGTTCAAGACCTCTTGTCCAAAACTGGCTCTTTATAAAGTGACCCGAGTCTAGGATTTTACTTCAGTGGTTCCAACATCCTCTCGAACTGGACTTGGGTCCTCAAATCCAACTCTCTCCGACCTCTCTGACCTCTTCCGCCCAGTCTCCAGCTCCGTCGCCAGGGCGCCCTTCCGCTGCCGCGCCGCGCCGGCGGCCGCGCCCAACTGCTGCAGCTCCGCGTGGCGCTCGCTCCAGCCTCGGAGAAAGCGGAAAGGACGCCACGGCATCGGGTCGGGTCCGCGGCTTCCGAAACCCTGGGGCCTGCAGGGGGGCTTGGGTCTCTTCTCCCAACAGGTGCCCCAAAAAAGCCATTGAAGTCCGGAGTTTTTGTTTTGAGGTGGGTTCGGAAAAGACGGGGACGGTGGGTTTTGTTTTGGCCAAAGGGGCCGTTCTTGGGTACATATCATATGATCATTGAAAGTGGGGCTGGTCTGTGAAGAGGCAAAATGGCGTCCACCAACAGCAGTTCAAGTGGAGCTTGGATCCTGGAATGAGTAATGGGTTGTTTCTCACATCAGAAAAAGACCATCATATACTGTCATATACTCATTCGAGATTAAAACTAAAAGGATCGGGTGCAGAATACCAACACACGAGCTGAAGTCACTTCCTCGTCAGTCGCCATGCTTGGAAAAGATTGGTGCAAAGGAGCGCACTTCACTGGTCCAACCTATATCTGGTTGCTCTGTATACCTTGGGTATATCGGTATATCCTATTACCAGGGTCCAGTGGATGATGTTCAGTTGCAGGCCGTTCCATCCTAAAATAGTGATGTTCTTGTTCACCGACTGTGACAGGTAATGGGACAAACCCAATGTTTGTTTGACTCTGGTCCGCAGCTGAATCTTCTTCCAAATCAACGCTTCGGTCGCTAAACTCCGGGAGCTACAGTTTGGGAAAAATAAAGGAAAAACATACATGCGAGGTCAATTGCCTTGTGAACTACTTAAACACGAACTCCAATCCCGAAACCACTCACTTGCAGCATGGCCTTCATCCATCTCCCCCCAAGACCGCCGCTCTCCCGACCCATGCTTCACACCAAATCCGCTTCAAATCATGCTTCGGTCACTCGGACAAACATCACGCGCGTCTCGCCGCGTCTGCCCGCGCCCCCCCGGTGCCCAATCGCCCGACTCTGCGCCGGTCGCTGCGCCGGTCGCTCCGCGCGCGGAGAGCCGCCAAAAGACGTGTCTCGCGCTTCGTCAGCTCTTCCCTCCGCTGGTGGAGCGCGGCGAAGCGCTCGTCCAGGTCCGCCTCCTTCCCCATCCAAATCCGGCGGGTGCAGGCGTTGGCTCGACCAGGGAGGGTGGGCTTCCATCGTGCAGTCAGTGCCAGTGTGCCGGAAAACAAAAAGAACTGGCGAATGATACGTATAAGCTCATGTTCCAACGGCTTTGGATCGTAACCTTTGGTTGAGTAGAGGGGTGTTTTTCTGCAGTGGACTGTTGTTTGGTACCAGACTCGTTCTATGGGGTCTATTATGAATCTGCTCAGTAGACACACAGGATTCCCCCATCCACAATGGAGGGTGTGTTTTCTCTTCCGCGTATGAGACTGTGGCTGTATAGCAAAGGACAAACGTTTGATAAGGGTATGCTCCTGTTCAAATCCACCAGCCCAGAACTACTCACCCAACCTAGGGCCCAGAAGTCCCTGCCACCGGCTTTCCGCGTGGAACCCGCGGAAGACGCAGTGCGCAATCGTCTCCTTCATCTGCAGCTCGTGTCGCAAGGGCTCCAAGCGACCTTGCCACCTCTGAACGTCCTCCCGCAGCTCCTGAGGAAGAGTGTTTCCCTTGGGGTGAGTGAAAGAGGTGGGGAGAGGGGGGTCAGTGGTACCCTGGGCAAATTTGGTGAAGGCGTGTTGGAGGGCAAGCAGGCAAGGAAAACTGGTACAGGGAAAATGTCTAGCCAGATCTCTGGAAGACTTGTACACCAGAGTTCTTGTTGGGTCGCTCTGAAAGCCTTAAAACGAAGAGCCATCAACCCTCAAATGAAGGAAGTGAAGATCCCACAAACACCGGTTAAACCCTGTCAAACCCACTTAAATCTGCTCCATTGGTCCATCTTCCGGCCGAATGGGGAGGCCGTGTTCACGGCCCTCACCCCCCCTCACGAACACGGCCAATTCCCGGTCGCCTGGCCACTTCTCTTCGCCTCTGCCAACGATTGGCGCCGTAGGGGCAGCTTGCCACGAATCTGCTCCGCCTGCGAAGCAAGGAGCGGAGCGAGTTTGGCGCCAGCACCCACTCCGAAACCCCCCCAAGCGACGAGCGACGACCAGTTGGCGCCCAGGTTTATATAGGGTTTAGAAGCTCTAATAGCACTTGGTGTTCGGCCATATATGAGCCACGAAAAACATCAACTAAATCAAAGGACATCTGGATTTGGTGAGGGGCTCATCATGTTTCTGGTTTGGTGGTATATGATTGATTGTCGTTCTGAGGCTAAATCCTGCGGTTTGCTATCCCACATCCATGCGTGCCTCATTTGTGTTGGCTTTTGTAGATGTGAAACAACCTTGCATTGTGTTTCACATTACTAAGGGTTGTTAATTACACTACAAAACCAGGTCAACCCGTTTTCATTGTCTTTGAAGGCAAGGGCTGATCAACCCCAAAGAAGTTGTTTTGTTAGCCTGCATGCCCATCATGGCAGTACAAGCCACTCAGGTGCAATCTTTACGGAAGGCTAAAGCAGTCGGCTTGTTTGGTTGCTCCGTTTTTACCCCTGGGCTGAGCCCGCCTCCTCTTGAAGCTGCCGCAGCGGTGGCTTCCGCCGTTCAGCCTCCATCGGAAGAAACCCAAAGGATCCATGATTAGTTTTTATAGTTTTAATTCTAATGGTAGTCACAGACCATTTATAAAATGGTTGATCTGGTTTTGTAGTCTTAAAACCCTGAGTGAAACGATGGTTGTTCGGTAAAGGCTATTAATTAAAACAATGGTGCTTCGACTTCTAGGGGGTATACTAATCTATTGAATTATATTGTTTCTAATAGCGTCCGATCGCTCCTAGTAGCAAGGCCAGTTTCGCCCCGTTCGTAGCGTCCGATCGCTCCGTGCCGTTCTCTCCCAAAAGAATCTGTCGATTTAACACTCCCGATTCCAAGCATCATGGTGACCGTGGAGTTCACCATCTGAAAAGTTGTGGAGGGTCTTCTTGGTCTTCCAGATTCCAAGCATCCTTTTTTTCCACATCCCATGAGTCGCATCAGGCACCCAGACGCTCCGTCCACAGCCCGACTGGTCCCTCAAAACCATAGGGTTTTGAGACCCCAGACCCGGGTCCGACCCCTCCATATGAGGGTCCCGGGTCGCGTCTGGGCAGAGAATCAATCTGTCTAAGACTCTGAAACCTCCCCCCCCTCCGAGGCACGCGCCAGTAGATCACGCCCCGCCTCACCACCCTCTTGCCACTTCAGCCGCTCCTCTGAGAGGTGCAAAGCGGCCTCTTCAACCTGAGCGGGTGACGGCACCCGTTTTTGAGGCATTGGTGGCGGTTGCTGTCATCGCCTGTGCAGGATTGGAATCCATGTAGAACGTCCAGAGTGACATCAACGGGCTTTTATGCTCCATGCCTTTCAGAAAAGAAACGGAAGAGCCCGCACCATTGACACCAGGTCTGCGTGTGTTTTCTTGGTGGTTTTCTTCGTTGTAGAGCTGTTTTGGTTCCCACCTTTCCATGCACAGTGGCATGTATTGAATACATCGAGTAGTTTCCCAAGTAGTCGTCCACTCCGAAACTCCATCTTGGTCTCGTTGTCCCGTGTGAAACACATGCAGCACACCTGGGGTTGGACAAAGGAATCCAAACAGTCCAGACCCGGTGCTTCTTCGGGTGTGGAGTCTTAGGGTATGAATCATGAACCCAATAGTCCAACCAACCCATGCGCACTGTTCCTATTGCTTGACTGCAGGGTCAACAACAAACACTGGAAAACGGACGCGTCGCCGCAAGCCTTCGCAAGCCCGTGCCGTCCCGTGCGGTGCGGCCGAGGGCACTCGCTCGAGTCGCTTGCTGAGGCGCGCTCGCAGGCGCACTTGCTGCTTCTCCTGGCGCAAGACCTGCCGCGGCGAACACCGCGCGCCAGACGCACGGCTGACTTGGGGAATGGACTCTGGAACTGACGCAGGCGTTGCCGGTCGCCCCACTAGGATTGGCATGGTATGAATCCCGAAGCAATCACCTGAGCAAGTTTCAAGCTTCACAATGAACAAATTGAACATCAAGCCTTTGAATCAAGCCTCACAAGAGCACAAAAAACATATTAATCCCCCCTCTTCTGTCCATCCCTCTTCTTCACCTACTGATGTTCTCAAGTCCTTACCATTGACCATCCATTGACCATCCCCATCCCATCCGCCTCCTGGTGCCGTTCGGCCAGCACTGCCTGGAGCCGCTGGGCCTCCCGAGCGCTGGCCTGCAGCGCCTGAGACGAGACCGGTGCCGCTCTTCAGCGAGGGGGTTCCGTGGTTCCATTTGAAGAAGTGGTTGCGCTTCTAAAGTCCAAGAGACACTGTTTGGTACATTTGAGACTTCCATTTGAAGAAGTGGAAGTCCAAAAGACACTGTTTGGTACATTTGAGAATTCCATTTGAAGAAGTGGAAGT